ATTATTCTAAGAAGATGATAATATTCTAAGATATTATTATTATAATATAATTATAATAATAAAGAGATGTTCAGCTTCATGTTTTTATCGTAGGAGTCTTGTAACTAGTAACCAATGGATTAATTACATTAGTTCCTAATAGGTTACACATGTTTTTAGTGTAGTACTATTGAAAATGTCACCAACACGAGCAAATATTCTTAAAAAATAACAAATATAGAGTTGTAAAATACTGCAGTTATGTATCTTTTCATAGCGGATATAATTTCTGAGTATTGTAACAGCTGTGAAAACTAACCTGATTAAAGAAATATATATCATTATATTGTTAAACAAATATAATTAGCAACGCTAGCAAAGTACCCATAAAAAATGATTGAATTCCAATCCCTAGATATATAATTCTGTGCCAGATTTACCGATAGGCTTAACAGGCTGAAGCCTAGGGCCTCAAAATCTAGCCAAAGTGTATAATATTTTTGACACTGTCATAGAGCTTTTTTTCACATGCTGTCATAACAAATTGTAAACTCTAAACAAACCTTCAGTAATTTTTCTTATATTCTATTTCAGAATAATTCTGTGTTAAGCTGATAACTCAAAGCTAGTATTGAATTTCTTTGTAGATTTTTAAAATTTCATTTTTTACAATCACATACTGTATTTAACAATAACATCTTATGTCTTTTAGAGTTGAAATTGTCAACTATGGAATTTTAAACACTCATCATCATCCTCAGCTTTACTCAAATTATTTAACACCATTTTCCTCTACTTGTGAGATTGTGAAATTTGGAGGGGTTTTACAAGTGGAATAGCCTTGGGCTTTTCTTCATCCAAATCCGGCCCTGATAGTATTTGTGCACTGTGAAGTGTATTACATATATCTCTATCAGTTACCTTTCTGTTGATTTCTAGCTGACACTAGAATTAGGAAAGGATGAAAAGGAGAAGGGTAACTTCCTTAGCCTTGCTTTGCCCAATTCTATCCTCCAGCCAATACAGAAGTTTGCCATGAAAGTGAGAGGGATTTTCTAAAAAGGATCATTCCCTCTCATGCAATATTGATCATTATAAATTGACAATAATGACTGCTGACAAGCCTTCTTTGATGCCACAACATTTTCCAGGTGATTTCTCTCACTGAATCTTTCTAAACAAGAAAAGGTGACACCATAAACTTGGTACCCCTTCCAGCCATCAATCCCAAATCCTTTTATCTCGTAAAATAAATTTTTTATAAAAATATTTTAGATTTTCAATTTACTTTATTAAAAAATAAATTACATTACAATTTACTTAAATAATTAAAAACAAAAAACTACTTCATTTTGTTTTGCATTTTTTGATTTACTTTATTAAAAAATAATCAAAAACAATTGTATTTTATTGAATTAATTTTTATATGGCAATTTACTTTATTAAAAAAATAAATTTCTTTACAATTTACTTTATAAAAAATAATTTAAAACAAAAAACTGGTTCATATTTTAGTTAATGCTAATAGTTATGTTTTTCTGGTGCCGAGACAACTCGGCACTCAGTTGGCGGTGACGAGTTGTCTCTTCCTGTCAGTATGACACTCTACCTTTATCTTCTTTAAAAGTTCTGTATTCATGTAAATATCAATCTATCTTCATGTTGAGAACAAGAAGTAGCAGTTAACTCCCCCCTCCTTTTTTTTTTTTTTTTTTTTTTTTTTTTTTTTTTTTTTTTTCGTTCACTCAGCCTTAACACTTTCTTTCACTTGGTTCTTTGATGTTCTCTGTACCTGTATGTGCAACTGACACAAGACTTGCATACTGAATCTTCTCTGCTTACACTATTCTACTAATATCCCTTGTTCACAACTTATTCTAAGAAATTGAGGAATAGCAGATTTTTAAAAAACATCATGTGTGCTAAGAGGATGGTAAAAATAATTATTTTTATTACACAAAAATTGTTTGTCCTGGAAGATATCTAAGGTTTCACCACATACAAGTCACTATAATTTTATTAGGCTACACTGTTTTGTTTCTATTTTTTTTCTGTTGTTGTTTTAATCATTTCGACCTTCCCCTCGCAAGTCAATAAAACCACTAAGACGCAATGGTTACTGAGCGTCAGAGACTATGATAAAAATATATTAAGGAGAGAAGGCAATAAAATAAGACAAAAGATAACGATATGCATTGCATTTAAATTTTTGAAGATCAAAGTTGACTGGGATACAAGAAGCCAGAAGAGTTCCACAAGTAAGAAGTGCAAGAAAAACTGTTAGCAGAGAACTTACAGTTAAATTATTTTTTTTTTTTTTTTTTTTTTGTTGCCAGTTTTGATAAGTCATTTTTTTTTTTTTTAGTCAAGAATGGTAATCCTAATGTTATAAAATACAATAAGACATATCTCGCTAATTTACAGGCAAATACTCAAGAGCTTAGAGTCGGATGTGAACGGGACAAAACCCCGTCACAAAATGACCATTATCTTCATTTACAAATGTTCCCGACACAATATGTTCTGGTTTAAAAATAAAATAATATTTAAAGTGTTCTATTTTCGGGTCCAATAAAAAATGCTTCCCTCCTAATTATATTTCGCTTCGTTTTTCGAGCCTGTTAAGCCATAAAAAAATGCTATAAAAGGGGTCACACGGAAGTTCAACAGGGCAGTCAGCAGGTGTCCATAATAGAGACCTGTCACGGTCAGGCAGCTGTCAGCAGGGG